ATGAAAGCCTATTCTGTTGTAAAATCAATTATGGCACTGGGAGTTTCCATGGGTTGGATTTGAGTTTGAGGATGTGGAAGAATTGGTGGAAGACCACAATGAAGAGCTCACCACTGAGGAGCTGCAAGATTTCACAGGAAGAGCAACACATCGCAGCTCAGAATCTTGCTGCAGAGGAGGAGGAAGAGAGATGGAAGAAGGTGCCTTCTTCAGAAATTAAAGAGATTTTTACTATGTGGGGTAAGATGAAAAGCTTTATGGAGAAAGATCACCCTAACAAGGTTGTTGCAAGCCAGGTTGGCAACATGTACAGTGACAAAGTCTTGGGCCATTTTAGGGAAGTGTTAAAGAGATGCAGAAACAGAGCTCTCTCCACAGTTATTTTGTGAGACAGGACTCCAGTGACTCTCAAGGTGGTCCTAGAGGCATTAAGAAACAGAGAAGAGAAGCAACCCCAGAAAAGCAAATGGTACCTGAGGTGTTGATGGAAGGGGATTCCCCTTCCAAACTATAAACAATCCACTCTCTCTCCTCCTCCAGTCTCCCATACACTAAGAAGAATCTCCAATAAAGGTAAGTGCTATGCTGTTAATGTTTCATTCATCATTTCCCATTGTATTGTTTATGTACTACATGTATATTTCATGTTAAAAATTTTTTTTTTCAATACTTCTGGGTGTCAGGAACGGATTAATTGTATTTACATTATTTCTTATGGGGAAAATTGATTCGTAAATCGTAAATTTCGTTTATAGTAACGGCTCCAGGAACGGATTAATTACGAACAACGAGGGACCACTGTATATACATACCCCTCTGGGTTTTCTTCTATTTTCTTTCTAGTTCTTGTTCTTGTTTATTTTCTCTTATCTCCATGGGGAAGTGGAACAGAATTCTTCCTCTGTAAGCCATGCGTGTCGTAAGAGGCGACTAAAATGCCCGGAGCAAGGGGCTAGTAACCCCTTCTCCTGTATAAATTACTAAATTTAAAAAGATAAACTTTTGTTTTTCTTTTTGGGCCACCCTGCCTTGGTGGGATACGGCCAGTTTGTTGAAAGAAGAAGAAAATGTGTGTAGTTATGTGAATGTTTACTGATGATGTTTTCCCCATGCAGTGGGTGTTATCAGTCACAAACACATATTGCCATCATTATTATTCTATTTAGGAGATGATTGTTAAAACCAATAAGTCATACACCTGGGGAATGGGAGACATTCAGATTTGAATCAAGGAAGAAGGAAGCAAGTTTCAAGCAAGTTTCACCAGTTTTAAGGAACCTTCCTTAAGAGGTCAGAAACAAATAAATCTGGGAAGAGAGGGTGAGCCAATATATAGTAGTGAGAATCAATCAAGGTCATTGGTAAGTTGGGTGAGTCAGCTCACACTGATTATCAAGCACTGTAGAAAGTGTTTCAGCTAAACTGTAGAAAGTGTTGCTCTGGTTGTTAAGTTGTTGGAGATACTGATGATTGCAGTTTCAAGGACTCTCTTTAGGTGTTATCCTCCTTGGCAATCAGTAGTGTGCCACTGCAATTTATTAGTGGGTGTGAGAATTACAATGCATTTAACAGGCACTGTTAAGGCTGTGATTCTGCTGGTATGTTTGTGTTCTGAAATTTGTTGCGGAGGTCTTTGTATGTCTCACTCTAGTAGATTACATCACAATTCCTATATGGCAGCATAAGACATAGTGGTTATGTTGAATTTGCTGTAGGAAAAAAATCTTGGAGATGTGCTTGTCAATCAAGTTGATGAGTTGAATTACACATCTTATCGGAGGGCACTGGGTCAAGGTGAATTGATCATATGGGAATGTAGTTTGCTATTCCTGATGAAATGTCAAGGGCAGTGTAATTTGATGAAGATTTTTTTTTGAGGGAAGAGATATCTTGAAGAAAATTTATTACTGCAGATGTGGAGAGAAACTAAGGAAAAGAATACCAATTTAGGCCTGGAGTCATGGTAAAATTAGAAATGTTGAACTTGGTGGATTTTCCAATAAACCTTGAAACAAAATTTGCTGCCAGAGTGTGCAAAATAAAATATCTAGGAAAGGAAGTGTATCACTGGTTTCTAAAAATGTATGTAAGATACAATCTGCTTGAGTTTACCTTGGCGGGCAGAGCCATCCAATCTTCTCAGTGTAATAATCAACATGTTGTCAACAGTAAAGTCAAGTCTGACAAAGGATGAGACTCTCACACACAGATTTGTGTAGACTGACTTAAAGTGAATCCCATAAGTAAGTCAAAGCTCTGTTGACAGAGGAAGCTTCGGAAGAAATAACTGAAACTAATGTATAATTCAATAAGGTCTACAAAGTCATTGAAAGATAGGTAAACCAAGGACATCATCAATTTTCCTGTGTAGATCAATGGCTTGAGAAACTGGGTACCTAGTTGAAGAGAGTGGTCATGTCAAGGCTAGATTGTATCTTGGATAAGATACATATGCAACAGTCTGGTATCCTTATGGACAAGATGTTTTGCCTGCTCAGCAGGCTTCTTCAGTCAAAATACAGAGGTGACAAACACTTGAGACAACATAAGTGGTTGAGAGGTAACTATGAGATGATCAGTTACTCAGCCCTAAAGAAGTGATTCTGAGGTGGTCAGTCCCTTAGCCATGTTAAGCACTCAGCACCATAGCTTTGATTAATGACTGGTCAACCTCTTCTGAAAGAAAATTTTTAAAACAGACTGTTGAATTTTTATTTGTAACAGAGTATCAAATTTTCAATGCCCAGATGTACATCAACTGTCTTACATGAAACTGTTTGAAAAGTGAGTTGGATTTACCAGTACAAAAATTCTGGAATGAAAAATGCATGATTTTTTTTTTTTTAACAAACCGTGTATCCCACCAAGGCAGGGTGACCTGAAGAAAAAAAAAAACGAAAGTTTTTGTTTTTAAACTTAGTAATTTGTACAGAAGGCATTATTAACTCCTTGCTCCCAGCATTTAGTCACCTGTTACAACACACTTGGCTTATAGAGGAAGAATATCATATAACATGTATGTATAAATATGACTGAGGAGCATGTAACTGTAAAAAAAAAAAAAAAAAAAAGCTGAACACTTTTTAATTACCTTTTTCCATACACGATAATTCGGTCAGTTGGCAGAGAGTCGTGATCTTCTGAACATCATCATCACCTCCGTCATCTCCAGTTTCTGTTTGTATCAGGTCACGGAAACTAGACACCGCAACTTCAGTACATTTTTCACATCGTCTGCAGTAGTTACCCACATCTACATACATAGTGCGCCAATAATACTTGCTAAATATACTGCTGTACATCTTTTCACTCCAAAATGAACACCTAAGTTAAAAAGCAAACAAAATGTATTAAAAATATTTAAAGGTTTAATTATAACCTTCACACTAATTTACAAAAATATGTGTGAGCCTCAGCTATAATTTATTGAAAGTCAAGATGTTTCTAATTGTACTCACTTCCTTAATGCATAAATAATTTACAGTATACTGTATAGCATTTTTTGTGGCAAATTTGATTTTTAGGGTGTCTAAATTACAGAAAATTCTAAATAGTGGTTTCTCTTTAAACTAATTCATGCTCAGGTTTTCCAAATTATAGATATCCCACACTCTATTACAGTAGAGGTGTTCTAGATTCATGGCAGATGCATTAACTTCATTATGTCTTCTATAGTTAAATCTTCATTATAGGAGTCTTTATTACATTTTGCATATGATACTGATCACATCAGGTAAATTTATATACTGTTGCACAAAGGGACTTACTGGCAGAAATACATAAGAAAGAGGATGAAAATCCAGAATGTGAGCTTTAAATATATGCTGCCTACCTGAAATTTGGTCAATATGTTCTGCTGCTATGATACGCCGCTGTTCTTCAGCACTAGTTATGACCTCTTTAGGCATCCTATGACCATATGACAGTCGCCCTTCTTCATTTATCTGCATAGAGTAATTGTTTCTCATAAGAAAAAAGTTTAAATATAAAAAAATTACCAATAAATATAAACAGTAATAGATACTGTATGTATAGTATCGTATTTCTGTCTTAGATTTTTATAAAAGTATCATAATTTTATAAAAATACATGAGTTGTAAAGCACAATTTCAGGCACATTTGTTAAAAAAAAAAAAAATTAACACACCAGCCACTTCCACAACAGTAAGGCAACCCAAAACAGGAAAATGCATTTAACATCACCCATTCAATGGCTGTCTTGTCAGAACTGCACAGACATTACACTCAAATGACTCTCCAAACTGCAGTATCCCCAACCTCATTCAGTGTAGGCACTGTACTTCCTACCTCCAGGACATAGAGTCTGGCTAACTGGTTTTCCCTGAATCCCTTCATAAATGTTACAATGTTACCTAGCACACATTCCAAAAGCATGTCAAGCCACAAAAAAAATCACTTGTTTTTATTCACTCCAATCTAACATATTCACACAAGCCTGTTGTATGCTCAAGCCCCCTAGCACTCAAAACCTTGTTTACCCCCTTTCTTCAAATGTTCCTGGGATGATCCCCACACCTTCCTTCCATCCAAGATTTAAACCTCGTCATCCTCTTCTGCTCCACCCTCTCTAAATGTCTGAACACCTCAAGAACCCCTCTGAATTAAACTGTTTTCTGATTTATACTCTGTATTCTCTTTGTGTAATATTTGACTCGCAACATTAATCTAAAATATGACATTACTACTCCCTTCAGTTTCCTTGCAGCAACAATGTACCAAAGTATAATGGTACCATCACAAAAGTGTTGATACCATTATACTCTGGTACATTTTCCTTTTTGCCTCCAAAGATAAAATTTCTTTCAAAAGATGCCTCAACACACCACCTACCTTTTTTGGTTCTCATATATTCTATGGTTCACCTCATCTTTCATAGACAACATGACCATTCCCAAATATTTGGATACATTCACTTTCTCCATACTCACTATTTTGATATCCAGTCTTTCAGTGCATAAATGTTTTGTTACTCTCATTACCTTGTTCCTTTCAGTATTCACTTCTTCCTTCTTTTACATAACATCCAAAATACCTCCACTGACCTTACAGTTTTTTTTTTTTTCAGAATCTCCCACAATAAATTGTATCAATGGCAAGGAACAACTATGACAACTCTCACTTATCAGTTTCATTATCATTTAATCCCACACCTTTCCCAACATCCTAGCATTCACATCTAGAAATATGTCAACAATCATGGTGAAATCATACATCCCTGTGTAAGGTCTTCTTTAACTGGAAAATATTATCCCCCTCATACATACCCTAACCTGAACCTATCTGCAATGTATATACCTATTCCTTACATTTGCAAGATCTGCCACATGTTTTCCTATCTACTCTATCATATGCTTTTGCTAAATCCATAAATAAGAGAAAGAATTCCTTACCTTTATCTAAGTATAGTTCACTTATAAACTTCAATGGAAACTCTTCATTTACAGAAATCATACTCTTCCTAGATCCTTCTTGTTCCTCAAAAATCTTATTTCCATCCTACCCTAAACTCTTTCAATAATAATTCTATCATTCCATAAAAATGAACGACTAACCAAGTAGTTTGTAGCTCGCTTCTTGATGACTTTCCTGTAAGTAATCTGTAGCACCTTCTGGGAAGGTACCAGAACTAAGGTAATGATACACTTCGTTGTAGAACATTCCATCAGGATCATCAGGGTGTAGAAATGGAGCTAGAGGCAGTAGTGTCATGGGCATTACCTTTTCCTGTCATGGAAACATTAGTTAATTGATGTATGATTAAATTAAAAAATTTGCATTTTAGACAAAAATAATAATTAGCAAGGTTAAAGGATAATTACTGTTTTTAAATGATTATAATACACTACTATCTAATGTTGATGAAAGGTGAATATGACTTATCAAATCCTTTCCACACATTAAAATTTGTTTAATGCAGCACTGTACTACACATTTTATAATTCAACAATTTTGTTTAGAAATCTTAATCCTTATTAATCTATAAGTATTTTGCTTTTTAAAATTAGTATACTTTTTTATGACTTTCAATAAGAAGTTAAGTTAAAACTTATAATTCTTATTTCTCTTCTTTTTTTCAAATTTATCTTCTTCCTTCACATTAACACAGTATTCATTTCTATTCTGCATGAATCATTGGGGGATTTGAAGATTAGGACAGTCTCTCAAATAATTCTATACTGCATTTTGCCCTTCCTTAATTTAGGTTTTCAGAACTATTTTGTGCATTACTCAATTCTGGGATGAAACTGTTTTGTACCATACTTGTGACTATTACAAAAATTAAAGTACAGTACTGCACAGTTTAAGTCAGGATCCTCTGCCTGAGGTTCCTTCAAAGTGAATACAGTACTCCCTACAGATGGCTCACTTAGCACGCACTTCACAAGATACACCGAAGCTTTCATAGTCTCAAGGACCCATGTCTGAGCTGAGAATAAAGCCTAATAATATTGCCACTGAAATGGTAAAAGATGAGTTACTAGTGACACTCTGTGGCACTGTTTGTGCAAAACTACTGAAGATTGGAAATGTTTGTAAGATAACATTAAAGACAAAGTTAAAGCACAATAATGTTATGAACATCTAAACTTTAAATGAATCATTAAATATGCAAAGATGTGTCATCGTTCAAAACAAAAATTTATGAGAATAATTTTTTGTAAAGACCAAGTACCATTAACATCTCTAAAAATAAGTACTGTACTGTGTGTACATACCATAATGATAGCAAATATGATAAAGCTCCTGGAGAGCAAAATGTTGCCACAATTAATGTCATATTAGTTGGATCTGTGCCCTTTTACCTAACATTAAATATATAAATTGGACTGTCTAGATACTGTCCACAATTAAACAATTAGATCTATATAATCATAGACTACATTAGTATCAAAATCTTACAATTTTGATAAAATACTGAATGAAATAGCTACATTTCTATAATAAAAGGCTTTGGTTAATACTTACTTCCATCTGTAAATTTACTACAACACCATGATGCATCCCATCTTGATCCTCTGCCATTACTGTAACACCTTGTTGCTCAGCACCACTCATCTCATTGGCCAGGTGACTGTATTTGGTTTCTTCCATCATATGTTCAACCTTTAGAAACATAAACACTAAGGTAATAAGTTCCAACTTGCATTTCTTTTGGTCACCCTCTTTGTGGTCACCCTTCCCACCAGGGAGAGTGACCACAACCAGGAAACACACTGATCAACATTAATTCAATAGATGTTTTGTCAGAAATGAATGGATATACTGTAATTCAAATAACCCTAAAAACCAAAACATCCCCACCCATCCTTCAAAGGGCAGACAAGGTACTTCCCACCTCCAGAATTCAAGTCTGGCCAACTCACTCACAATTATGACAATTTATATCAACCTCAGGTCTACATAAAGGATCTAAATGATATTGCAGTCTGAATATTTAGAATTTTAATAAACTTAAACACTCATCTGCATTGTTTTACATTCCTAAAATTTATTTACATACATAAACACATACTTACACCGACTTCTTTACCATAATTCTATGGTAAGACATCTAGAGAGCATGTTATGTTGAAGGAAATAGCAATCATGATTGTGACATTGATGGGCTTTCATTGGTATCCTAAAACAACATGCAGAGCTAACACCAGCTGTAACAACAGCTGTGACAGCACTAACAGCAGTGACAACAGCACCAGCCATGCCAACACGAACACCTGTGACAACACTACCAGTGAAAACACAAACATCAGCAACAACACCAGTGCGACACCAGCTGTGACAATGCCACTAGCAGTGACAACACCATGAGCTTTAGCACCAATGGCAAATACTGTATACCCTTAGACCAACAGGGTGTGGAACTGGCAGGAAAATACTTAATTTGTGCCAAATGTTTCACAGTTTGATGAGAGTAATAGTGCAATTTAGCCAGTGTCCTATAACAGATGATTCCACTGAAACTGACTACTTCCAGTTATTCTTCGATGATATACTGATATACATAATTGCTACTCAAATAAATAACTACAGCCTCTCCTCACTGAGATGAACTCGTTTACTGACGACTCGGACTTATGACAGGCTCTCTGACCAGTACGCATACCTAAATAATGTACATTAGAGCTGATTTCCTTTATTCTGTTTATTACAATGTACAGTACACAACTGTATAAACATTTAAAAAATATACTAGAAATGTTATAAATGGTGCAAAGGTGGCATTAAAACAATATCATAGATGGTTAACACTAACCTACAGCCATTATAGTATGCTCCTTACTTAGCAACAAATTTGTTTACCGACATACTCTCAGAAACGGAACTCCATCATTAAGTGAGGAGAGGCTGTATTACAAGTACACGGTGGCCAACTCTTATGTTTCACTGAAATGAAGGCTTTGACAATGGAAGGACACTCCTATTGCAGAGATGTATTTGTTATCTGTAATGCTAATGTTGATGCCACCCACCCATAAGAATAATACATGAAAGTACTGCAGTGTAGACTTGTAGCAACACCAGTTTTCAGTGAAATCACGATCAATGATCACTTTCTGTTGTTGTTGCATATGTTGCATTTCTCTGATCAAAGCAATCTCCAGAGAGATGATTGGCTCAACAAAATAAAAATTCAGCGAGTACTTTTATCCGTTCAAAAAAACATTGTTTTACGTGAGTCTCTGATTTTATTCAGAGGAAGACTTTCTTCAAGCAATACATACAAAGGAAGCAACAGTGGTTTGGTATCAAACTCAACAGCGCATCAATTTCAGCCAGCTTCAACACATCATAAAATGGCAAGTTTTTTGTCAGAATTACACTCATTTTAGTCTTATCAATTAAAAAATGAACTCTCTTAAACTAAGATATTTTCTTTTTTTAAATTTTCCCACATCATGCCTTTACTGCTGTCTCTGGAGTACCTGTTTATTTGCCATTTAATAAGATAATTTTTACATAATAATTATTATACTACCCATAACTTATTTCACATGTGATTAAGAAAGTACAAGACATCGTTTATTCACTGCAAAACTCACCACTGCAACATCATTACGAACTTGGTCAAGTTCTGCAGCAGCTGCAAGGGCTGACAGTGGATCTTTTACCTGGGAGTGCCCATTCTCTTCATGCCCCACAAGGGCTCCTCCATTAGCTACCTCATTAAGGGCTGTTGCCAGAGCATCATTCGGTTGACCTACAATAAAATATGAACAATAAAGAATAAAATAAGGTTGCATCTCACTTTTTTACTAAAAGCATTTGCTTTGAAATTTAACTGCTGGTAATTTCCTATAACTTTTCCCTATCATATTAAACTTTAATTGTAAAGAGTTCACATTTATTTAATTTTTAACACACCTGCTGCCTCCTACCAAAGTAGGGCGACTCAAAACAGAAAACACATTCACCATTATTATTCAGTAGATGTTATGCCAGAAGAGCACAGAAATCACAATTTCAATAACTTGTTGAACTGCAACATTCCCAACTAGTGCAATGAAGTAGGTCTGTGAAGACTAAGCATTAGAAATATTACAAGGGTAATACTATGAATTGTTTACATACATTGCAATATAGCAAATGATTATAATGCAATAAAGTAATAGCAAATTGGCAATAAGAAATGATGATTTCTGATAAAAAAAAATTACACATGAACAGAAAATAAGATGTGAAAAACAGTGCAATGGTGCATTAATGTTATCAGAATATTACCAAAGGGTATGTGTGATAATTATGTGCTACTTATCATGCAATTTATATTTAAAAAAGAACAACGTGGAGATTTGCTAAGGAAAGCTGACAGACTGGGGAATCAGGATGCATAGATCAAACTCCCATGATAAAGATCAAGAACAAGGGAGGCACTGCACTTCTAGCATTATAACAGTACAAGTGTAGGAGCTGGTATAGTATATACAGTACTATAGCACTCTGTGTGAATGACTAAGAGGTTAACAGAGGAAAACACCTACCAAACATGACACCAGAGAAAATATTCACATATTTTATTTAGCGAAAAATAATTGGATTCACGTCATAGGTAAAAGAGAGAGGACTAAGATATGGTTACTGTAGTACCAGAAGTACCAACAAATGTATAACTACAAGTATAATATTGTCAGAGGGACCATCATGAATGTCACCTAATAATATTAAAAAATTAAAAAAAAAAAAAACATTCACTAGGAGACTGTAACACTACACTGTACTTCCCTCATTGCACTGACTTTTATTTACCATACATGGGCAAATCAAGTTACTGTATTATTTCACTGATGTAAAATTTGTGTTTTTCAAATTTTATCACAGCCGACTTCTATATAAATCTCATGGCTATCACGCACATTGCATCAATGTTTGCCTCATCATTCATAGTTGTTTCAGATTCTCAAAGTGCATTGTAGACTACCCAGAAATTCAACACACTTCACCACATCATTGTTCACATTCAACTTCGGTCAAGCCGGATTTCTAGTAAATGCACAGATGTAGGTTTCTGCTGAGTCCCTGGGCACAGTGATGTTCAGGGTAATGAACAAGCAAACTCAACTGCTTAGTCAGCTGTTCATAATCTCTTAATTACTCACAGGGGTATTCCTTACTCCAAATATTTTCAGTGATCTCTCAACAACTCTGCAGCTGCTGTCAACAGCATTAGTCTGAGTTGGTGCACAACCGTTTTCGGTCAAACCTCATTTAGGTTCCTGGCCATCTTCACACTGCTGTTGTGTTTGGGAGATTGTACTCTCCTATTTACATATTGGCCACGTGTGCCTCACTCATGGACACCTCATGGAAAAATGCCCGGCACTGCTCTGTGAGGACTGAGTTGTACTATAAGTTCACTTTATCTTAATAGATTGTCCAGCCTATTTGTGGGCATGTAGAATTTGCTTCCATTGTCTCTGCTGCCCTAAAACACTATTCCTGACCCCCAAGATAAAACAAGTACTGTTTTTAAATAGTGAAATTATATAAGTACAGTGGTACCCCAAGTTTCAGCCATAATTCATTCCAGAAGGCTGTTCGAGTGCCGTTACCGAATGAATTTGTTCCCATAAGGAATGATGTAAATTAGATTAGTCCATTTCAGACCCCCAAAAATACACTTACAAAAGCACTTACAATTAATGCTTACATAATTGTTCGAGTTGGGAGCCGTATGAAACTCGGGGTACCACTGGACACTACGTAATTCTATGTAACAGGTAATTCATGAGCAAATTTTTTTAATAACTGTATGTACTACAAAAGTCATTATATTTTACTACTATCTTACTACAGTGGACCCTTGACCAATGATATTAATCCGTTCCAAAGAGCTTGTTGTTAGTCGAATTTATCGTTAGTTGAATTAATTTTCCCCATAAGAAATAATGGAAATCCAATTAATCCGTTCCATATACCCAAAAGTATGAAAAAAAAAATTTTCACATGAAATATACATTTTCCTACACAGAAAAAGGATACATGCACAATAAATACTGTACTGTACTAAATGAAGAATAAATGACATTTACCGTTATTGAAGATGTAGTGATGAGTGATGAGATGGGAGGAGGGGAAATGGAGGTGTATTAATTTGGGAACATTTGAGAGTCACTGGACCTCTTGTCACACCAAAAATCGGTCCATTGAGCTCTTCCAGAACAGGCCTGTTTCGTCACAAATGAACACTTGTTGGGGTTGGAATTTTTCAGCTTCACCATGCCATGCCACTACAATTCTTAAATCTCTCAAATCAACCTTTGCTGGCCTTAAATTCACCAATATGAGCACTAGTTCCAGGCATTTTTTCATGTAAACCTGGGTGTTAGTCGACTGTGGCATGACAAGAGTATGTAACCTTTATTCGGCGCATGTACACACCCTCATTTACAGGCTATCTCCCCCAACCAGCGAACCAGGTTGCTAAGAGTTGTGATGGGCCCCGTGTTCAACTAGTGACCAGGTTCTAGCCAATAAGAAGATGGTTTTGGCAATCGCAAGGTTATGTGGGTCCCGCTCTCCTGTCCTGCCTTGTCATTCCCATTCTAGAGCGGGTTTTGAAGCACGGTCGCTATCTTGTGGCTTCTATTTCTGCCTTGCTTACCGTGGAGTGCACTATACTTATCACTGTACATAGTGTACATATTGCTGTTCTAAACTTTTTCTGCTGTGTTTATTTTGCCCCCATTTACACCCGGGATAACGGGCCCATTTGGAATCCTGGGTTGTAATATGGGTAGCCTGTCGAGAGCTGGAGCGGGACTTAGAAAAACGGTTGAGCTTAGGGTGAAGCTCGTAGCGGGAACATTGTGCAGCTTGCTGTCTGGCATTGCATTAGCTTTGCCTATGTTTTAAAAATTTTGCGTGCAGTTACTGTTATGGTCACCTTGCTATTGTGTGATCTTTCAACAGCTCGCTACCAGCTTGTTCGGTGGCTTGCTTCGCTACGGTCAATTCTTCTAGAACAGTGTAGCTGTCTGGCATTGCTTTACAATTTTGCGTGTCAGTTGTTACTAGCCTGTTGGGTGTGGAGAATTTTGCAGTCGGCTTTGCTTGTATGCTATTCTGCAATCGTACTGTGCATAGCTAAGCGTGTTCTGAAAAATTAACGTGTTACTTTGGGTATTCTGCAATCGTACTGTGCATAGCGAATAACTTATGCCACCTAGACAGTCAGACGTCTGGTGTCGCATATACTTTGCATAACCTACCTAAATTGTCCCTACAGCGTTGTTGGCAAATTGCTCTTTCCATTGGCATTAAATACAAACGCATTTCTCACAGCTGCGAAAACTGCGTTCACTGATTGCTGACAAACTTATAGAAGAAGAAGGGCACATCAGACTCCTCCCTCTACGGGAGCTAGGGCAAAAACACCAATGTTGTCGCACGAGGAAGATGATACACCTACGGAGCAAAATGGTCAGTATAGTGCAGCTGGGTTGTCTCAGGTAAATCAGCACGTTGGCCTTGAGCTGGCAAAAATCAATCTTGAGCAAATAGGGAACAGGGGAGCATTCGAAAGGGGAAGAATTTGAAAGGAAAGAGAAAGGAGGCAGTTTTCGCATTTTGTAAATGATTTTAGTTTACAAAAAGCAGTACAGCTTGTTCCCCCTTCAATGGGGCCCGAACCAGAACAATTTTCGAAAGCTTCGAAAATCAGGCTCGGCCTTGAGGTGGCCGGAACAGCTTTGGGGCATCGTTGGTTCATACAGCATATTGGGTAAGGCACAGGAATTTACGTCAGTATTAAATTACGCTGAATTTTCTGATTATCAAGTAGTGAAGACCACAGTGTATCCCAGCCAAATATAGAATTTTTTTTAAATTAAGCAGGCGGCAGCTTGGTCAATCCCTAGTGGACTTTGTGAGACAGCAAACCAAAGCTTTACCAGCGGGTATAAAGCAAGTGGTGTCTCTAACCTTTGAGGAGCTGGTACAGCTTATTCTGATTGATAACCTGCTGGAGTCTGTGGGACCAGAGGTTCGAGTCTTTCTGCAGGATCGTGACTTAACCACTGCATTGGAGGCAGCCAGGTTGGCTGATACCTTCGAAACTAACCGCTCCTTGTCCGAGCAGTCCCGTCCTCTCTTTTCAACAGCCTGGCATGAGCAGATCGTAAACCCTTTGGAAAGAATGAAGTGCCAGCCGGAGGGGAACGTCTACGTCAGCCAACTAAGTCACCTAGTGAGCCACGCTTCTCAACATATAGTCCACCTGCGGAGAGGCAAACAAACTCATGGTGCATCTCGAAAAACAATATCCAGAGAGACACCAGCCAGAACGACACCATTTGCAACGTCAGCAGGGAGTAAAGGGCAAGCCTGTCGTCTGCTTCCTCTGCAACAAAGTAGGTCACATCCGTCCCAACTGCCCCCATAAACCCCAACCCATTGGGAAAATCTCTAATATCCCTAGTAACATGTCCCCTAGAGAAGTAGGAAAAGGTATGGCCCCTTATTATTGCAAGAGTCTTATTTCCCTTCAGGAAAACTCAGAAACAATTGAAGTAAAGACCTTTAGAGATACTGGAGCATATTGCTCACTTGTAAGAGAAGGAATATTACCCCTTCAGAGAACACTTCCTTGAATTCCTCTGTTTTTATTGGAACCATTTGGAGGAGCTATATATTCTGTTCTTTGCATAAATTTATGTACAGTGCAAATATTACACGGGTACTTGACTGTAGGTGTCTAAAAAGGGGATTCCCATGAAAGATGCCATGTTATTACTGGGTAATAACATTACTACTGTTAGTTCGTGTCCTGAACCTATAATGATTAATTCTTCTCCGGTGTTGGCCATAACTCGGGCACATCCCAAGGGTTGTCTGGGGGGAATGTTGACCTATCCTTGGACGACTCCGATCCCGGAATAGCCACGTTGTTTTATGGGGCACACCGGCCGGACCTCATAAATCAAGTGAACAGACCCCGATAAAGGGCCTTCCTTTTCCCAGGTTGCAGATTGCCAGAT